CAGGTGCGACTAGGTGGCGCTTCTAGGTCGTTTTCCTGTAACTACAGATGTCCTTCCCACTGGGTCAAGCAATCAATCAGTTCTGGGTCCTTGAAAGACTTGCAAAATGCAGATACTAACCACCCGAGAAGAGGGCATTGCAGTCATTTGTCTTCAGTGGTGGAGGGTAAAGCAACCAGGAAACTCGTCAATCTTGCCAAGACTGACCTGGTCCACATTCGGCATTGATCAGTTGATGCTTTGCATAGGAACAAAGACGCTACTAGGGGCTCCTGGCCATACTATTAGGATAGGAACAAGGACGCTACTAGGGGTGCCTGGCATCGCTACCTGGAACAAACACGCTACTAGGGGCTCCTGGCATTGTTACTAGGAACAAGGACGTTACTAAAGTGAGTCCGGTCGGGTGCTTGGCTGGGCATGTTGCGCTGCAGCATAGATCAGCGAGAGATGCATCCAGCGTTGGGGCGGATCTCAGAGGTGTGAACACAAGCAGTGCCCCACAACGATCTTTTGCGACAACATGTTTTACATCTTTTTTAAAGCCCGCTCCTTTGCCCTCCCAATACTTAGTTAAGTAAGTTAAGGGAGTAAACACGCTACTAGCAAACTTGGATCCTACTGTAGCGAACGGACACAGGATAGTTCACGCTCGCACTAATGATGTGGTTCCTAGATTTTTAGGGAACATTAGCTCTTTGCAACAGAAGCGAAACATGATGAAACATGTCTTTTCAGCCCGTGAATCATCCGCTTTAGATAGAGTTGGGAACTGGCACTCCGACTGATCGAGCTCTAGACACAGAGTTGAGAACTGCATGGAGGCTTCTGAGATATTAGACGTTTCTTCCTTTTTCTATGGCCTCCAACCTACTAGCTCTAGACAGTCACTGCATCCAGACTTCGGAGATTTGCTCCACGCAAGACCCTGAGATTCCTGCAGAAAAGCTGATGGGGTGTCATTCGGTGCAAGCTCTTTGGGGAGTCTCAGGTGTTTGGTGTTTCTACTAGATCCCTACACCTTTGGCAGCTAGCAAGGATTTGGCAGCACGGCAGAACTGCCGTTTTGACTGCGTGTTGGAAGCAACGTTGAGTGCCTTTCAGCCATACAAAGCTATGCACAGAAGATGAACAAGAAGCAGCTTAAGCAATTGCAGCTAGTTCATCAAAGCATGACGTGCGGGTCAATAGCCTTTGCTGGTCAAATCCTCATAGTCGACATCTCACATCAACAGAGTCGACCACGAAACGCCGGTCTACAGTTCTGCCAGAATCAACCATACCATTAGCCCTAAACTCTTCTTGTTACTAGTAGCGTCCTTGTTACTACTAGTAAGGCACTTGTTACTAGAAGCGATGCACTTGTTTCTACTAGCTTCTTGTTTCTAATTAGCCCTAAACTATCTCGGCAGCTTGCTATGTTACAATCAAAAGCATCTCGAAGAAGGCTCTACCACCCTTCTCCGATTCAGCCAAGAAAGCACTGGGAACCTAAAGGAACCTACCGGACGCTACTAGTAGCTCCTGGCATCGCTACTAGGAGCATACCGGACACTTGTCTTTGACCCTTCGGATTCGTCTCAACACGCTTCGTGCCAATGGCGTTGTCGGCTGGCCCTACCAGGCCATATCGAGGATGGCCTCCCAGTGAACATCCCAGTGGGGTTGTGAACAGGCCTCCAACCGACTAGCGGCCTCCAAACACCTTCCGTTCCTGCGTTGCATCTCTCAGATGTCCTTCCGTTTTCCTGTTCAACTCCGCCTGCCAGGCCATCCTTTCTCCCTGGTGCTCCTAGACAGGCGTGGCGGTGGAAAGAGATTTGTAGCGATGCACTTGTTACTAGTAAGGCCCTTGTTACTAGTAGCGATGCCAGGAGCTCCTAGTAGCGTCCGAAGGCGAACAGAGTTGAAACTGGAGCAAAGTGCCAGGCAAGAAACTGGTGAAAGGTGCAAGGACGGTCCTCCTTCCACCTTTCTCAGGACCTTTTCTCGTTCCATGATGGAAATGCTTTGACAGTTTGGCTTATCACTTGTGAGAAACCCAGCGGCTCTAGACAGTCCTTTCTTGCTGGATAGCTGGATGTATCAGTGTGTGAAGCACACTCAAGTGCCAACCCTTTCGGTGCTGGCTGCCTTGCTTGCGGGTCGTTTGGCTTCCCATGCCAAGGAAGAAAAGATAAGAAGCCGTAAAAGATCTCATCTCACTCCGATAGTGAGAGACATGTTCAAGCTTTACCGCTCATTTCCACGGACCTCATCCCACTGGTGCCGATTGAAGTAAGAACTTTCCAGTCAAGTCTTCAGAACCGGTTAGTAGTAAGGTGCCTTGCTCCTAGTAACAAGTGCCACGCTAGTAGTAACAAAAAGCTATTAGAATTAAAATAAAACTAAATCTAACTTAATAGCTTCTTGTTACTACTAGTAAGGCACTTGTTACTAGTAGCGATGCACTTGCTCCTAGTAGCTTCTTGTTACTAGAAGCAAGAATGCTCTTAGTAGCGATGCCAGGAGCCCCTAGTAGCGTCCTCAGCCAGGTCATCAGCCATCGCCCGAGCCGCAAAACCGCGGCCAGCGGGACGAGCCTCGGGGCTGAGCATTTGCCAAGCGCTCTTGCGGGCGTGTTGTTGGCAAGGCGGGAGCCGTGTGATGATCAGAATGAACAAGAGAGTCACCCACCCAAGAGAGTCGGCCCATTCAAACTACCTTTTTCCAGCACTAAAGCGCCTTCTTGAGCCTTGAGCCTTTCATTTGTTGCTTCTTCTTCAGGTTCTCTTTAGATCTCTTCGGACCTTTAGACTTGTTTGTGTCCTACATTTGGAGCTACGAACGGAGCAAAGGGCATCGCTACGAACGGAGCAAGGACGCTACGTTCGGGGCTCCTGGCCCTACTACTAGGAGCAATGTTCGCTACGAACGGAGCAAAGGGCATCGTATTGTGAGTACTTTTGATGCCTTTTTGGGCCATGAGGTTCCACATGCAGAATTTGTATGCAGGATGACCAGGTCTATACTTTAGTCGGGTGCCGGTGAGTTTCTGGAAGTTGTACTCAATCAATGTCAAAATGAAGAATCACGAACTTGCTTTTGTCCCCCTCACAGTGTTGATGGAGGGAGAACAGGATCCTCCTCCGGTAGCACGGTGGTTTTGGCCAGGTTGTCCTGCCGCTTCGTCCAAGGAGCTCGGGCGCGGGACAGCCAGGGAGAAGTGCTGAGGGACAGCCCCACCGAAACCAGAGAGAAAAAGAACAGGTGCACTCAGTGCATTCAGTCCACCAACCTCAAAAGTCCCAAAAATAACTAGTTTCTCCCTTACTTGATGTTAAGTTTCCCTAAAATTCTAGGAACCAAATCAGTAGTGCAAAAGCTTCTTCAAGGAAGCGTGAGCTATCCTGCGTCCTGTCGGTAGTAGCTTACTTGCAGGTAGTAGCTACCTCTCCCTACTAGCTACGTAGCTACTAGCGGCCTACCCCCCCTTTAAAAAGACAGAAAAAACACCTTTGATACTAGTAGCTTCTTGCTCCTAGTAGAAAGGCCAGGAGCCCTTAGTAGCGTTCTTGCTCCTAGTAGCGATGCCAGGAGCCCCTAGTAGCGAACATTGCTGCATTTTGGATAGTCGAAAATGCCAGGCCGCCCGGGTGCATCCGCCTCCAACGCCTCGCGCTCGAAGATGTCCGCACCGCAGTCGTGATCCGTTCGTCGTGGTTCGTGCAGCATGGTGTATCTCGTTCACGTTTCTTCAGTGTTTGTCACGAAGCCTTCAAGAGAACTAGGATCAAGGGCATCTCTACTAGGAACAAGGGCATTACTACCAGAAACAAGGACGCTACTAGTAGCTCCTGGCAGAACCACATCCCAAAAGGGCCCAAAACGGCCTTGCAGCCTTCACCAGGTGCCGCCTAGCTGCAGGGTCCACTGACTGGCAACACGTGCGGGAGGACTTCCCCGCGTTGCAGCAGGAGGCAAAGCTGAGGAACCAGGAATTGTTACTCGTAGCGATGGCCTCCGAGCTAATAGCAATGGCCTCCACCCTAAAGGCTTCTTGTTACTATTAGTAAGGCCAGGAGCTACTAGTAGCATCAGTGCTCCTAGTAGCGATGCCCTTTGAACGTGTTTGAACAGTGCTCCTCCAGATTTTTGCCAAAAAAGAACCACCTTCTTTTTGCCAAAGATTGAGCAATTCTGTTTGTGTTAAGACTTGTAAGCCTGCGAGCTGTGTACGCTCCCGAACGACTGTCAAGCATCAACTCCTGGAAGGTAAAGCCTGGTATTCCCTTGGTCTACTTGGACAATGCGGCCACATCTCAGAAGCCGCGTGCTGTGCTGGAGGAATTGAGCCGCTTCTATGGCCAAGACAACAGCAACATGGCAGATCACTTGGGAGACGGACAAGTTGTGGCAGCTTGGGCGATCACATACTTGTTTTGGTAGGTGACTAGCGGTCAGAAGGTGTTATTCTTCTATGGAGGCGATGTAGCATCACACTCTGATTCATGGGGGTACTTTGTGGGCCCTCGTTGCATGCTGGCCTGCCATGGGGTGATGCCACAAGTATGCATTTCAGAGGCTCATTTCCTCTGACTCTTGAAGGCAAAGATGAGATTCTATTTAGCCGATGCAGATATGCATGGAAACACTGCAGCTGGGAGTGGCACCAAGAACTTGTACCACACCTGAACTCCAAAACAATCAATTGTGCCTTCAGCTCCTTCCTGATCCATTGCATGGCTGCATGGCCCAAAACGACCAAACACGAACATCGATCCCTCTTGTCGATCCCTTTGATGAAAAGAAGCGATGTCCTTGTTACTAGTAGCTTCTTGTTCCTAGTAGCGATGCCCGGAGCCCCTAGTAGCGTCCGATCGCTCCGTTCGTAGCCATGGCCTCCCGTCCTTTCGAAGATTCTCCGTTCTTCTTCCCTTCCGAAACCCCTGTGCGCCGGGCGAAACCCGGCGTCCCAGGCAATGTCCACCGGGGGATGCACACCCTGTCGATGCGCTCCACTGAAGCCTTTGAGAACGCCCGGAAGACAGTCGCGCACTTCGTCAACGCACCCGATGAGCATGAGCCTCCGCGCATCAAAAGGAGATGGATCGTCACAGGGATCTTATGTGAAGACCTCTGCCAGTAAGCCTGAAACGTTCTCTTGATACGGATTCAGCATTCAGGGTTTATGGTGGGAATGTGTTTCGGCAGCTGAACCAACCAACCACACTTGAATGAAGACTCTCGAACATGTGTTCATAAATATGTGTCTTAGACTTGAAGGGCGCCTCTACCTTGAATTTGCCTTCTTTTCACCAATCTGCAGGTCACGCTCCAATCGAGCTATCAATCTAAGAGTTGTTTCTGTTACATCCAAGTAGTCGTTTTTGGTGGCCTACTCTCCGCCAGAAAGGCGGCCGAAACATCAGCGAAACACCCCGATAGCACCAAGGAGATCATCTTCACACGGAACGCCACAGAGGCAGTGGCACGAGACGAACTCGCTCGGAGAGAATGGACCGCCCTTCACGAACGGGCGGAACGTTTTAAAAAGGTTTGATTGGATTTGGCTTGAGTTACGGCTCTACTCTTGACAAGGATAGGGGTGCCAAAGAAGGACCCCTAGTCCATTGTTCAATTTGTGGGCCTTCTTTCAAAATCAGTTGATTCTCTGTTGTTTCCTTTTGCTGTGTCCTATTGCTATTAGGTTGGAGGCCATTGCTACTAGGTTGGAGGCCATCGCTATCAGGTTGGAGGCCATCGCTTCTAGGTTGGAGGCTATTCCTATTAGGTTGGAGGCCATTGCTATTAGGTTGGAGGCAGAGGTATTCGTAAAAAGGAAAGGTGTAGTTCTTTCAGATCTTGGTCAAAAGGAAAGGAAAGGGAGGCTAAGATGTAGTCTCTACTTAAATAAATAGGGAGAGAGAGGGGGAGAGCGAGTAGGCTTGTTTAAAAAAGGAAACAGTGGGTTTCTGTTTTTTCTTTCGGACCTTTCCGACCTTTCTCTTTCGCAGGCCATCAACCTGGTGGCGAAGACCTGGGCCGAAGCCAACATCGGGTGCGCGCAGTCAGACGACGATGTGTGGGGCAGGGGCAGGAGAGGTGTTTTTTGGTATGTTTCTGTCCAAAACGATGTGAAGCACTCACTTTTCTAAGATCTAGTAACAAGAAGCTACTAGGAACAAGAGCATCGCTGCTAGTAACAAGTGCCTTGCTAGTAGTAACAAGAAGCTACTAGGGGCTTTTGGCCTTACTAGGAGCAAAGAAGCAAGTATTGTATGTTGCCCTAGCGATCCACTGGGCCGCGCACGGCGGCATCCGGGGCCTTCGCCGAATAGGTGTGTTTCACGTGATGGGAGCCGCGACCCGAAAAGCGGGTATCGTTTGGTGTCCCAAAATAGGTCTGACCTGTAACAGTCAGTAAACAAATGTGAACAAGAACATCACGATTTTGGAACAAAGGCCTTTATCAACCCTCATCATACACTGTTACTGGTAGGATATACTCGGTGCATCTCCATGTATGGTGGCATGATGTACGTTATTTGCACTGCAAGGGCCCGGAAGAGTAGGTTGGAGGCCATCGCTTCTTGTTCCTAGTAGCGATGCCCTGCGCTACTAGTAGCGTCCTCTTGTTCCTAGTAGTAAGTCCAGGAGCCCCTAGTAGCGTCCGATCGTTCCTAGTAGCGAACATGAAGAGTAGGTACCACGGGGTGAGATGCCCTGCCCACTTGTTCGGTCGAGGTCGGGAGACGAGATCGTGTTGACGGTCATGGACCGCGGGGGGTCAGGGCCAGCGAGGCTGTCGGGATGTCCTGTCTAGCTTTGACCAGTCCAAGGCATCCAATGCCATAGGGCCTTGGGGTTCAAACTTGTTCAAACTCAAAATGCAACGGAATTGTTGGAGGGGAGAAGGGAACACAGTATAGACCCAAATGATATGTTTTAAAAGTTGTAAGTGGCTGGAGCAAGAGAGAGCAGAGTTGCCAGGAGAAACTAAAAAATGGTTCAACCATTGATATGATAGGGCAGTTTCTTGACTCATCAACAAGATGCTTTAAGACAAAGTTGGGTGCCGGGGAATTCCATTGTGGGTGGACAGAAGCAGGCGGGCGGTATATTGCGATCTATAGTTTTGATCAGTCTTGAGTTCTTCTCTTTCTGCCCTGGCTGTTTCATGGATGGATGTTGGTTCACAAGATGATCCACTCCACTGCTTGGCGCACTTTTCGCGCTCGGCTGAAAAGCAGGAGCATCATTCCAACCTGGTGCCATGGCAACTTCTCGCTGAGAAGACCGGCGCGAAATTGAAGTTTGGCCGTTTGAGAAGCAACGGGACCTTGGCGCCTCGAAGCAAGAAGCTACTAGTAGCTCCTGGCATCGCTACTAGGAGCGATCGGACGCTACTAGGAACAAAGGGCATTGCTAGTCCCTTTCTTCCTCTACACCTTAAAGCCTTGCTTTCATGTTTGTCATCGTTTGACCACTCTTTCTTGTCATTGAAGCCCACAGAGGATGTGGAACACTTCGAGAGCCTTATCACGGAGAAGAGTCTCGGGCTGGAAACGCTGTGAGTCAAGTAAGCAAAGAGCAATTGCTGCACAATCTCCAGCCAAAGAAAGAAGCGCTCATTTGTTTTTGTTCATTTCTCGTTTGGCGAGAATCAAAGAAAGATTGACCCGGAGCGGCCTTGATGCTCTTAGGACCAAATTGGTGTCGTTGTGCCACGTCTCCAACGTCTTGGGCTGCGTGAACCCCATCAAGCGAGTGGCCGAAAAATGCCATGAACACCAGGCCAAGTTGTTGGTTGATGCTTGCCAGAGCGTGCCGTGGCTAGTGATTGGGTGCACTGGAACAACAGGTCCTTTGAAAAGTATGGGCACTGTATGGACACTGTCCTGGCCTTACTACTAGGAGCAAGGACGCTACTAAGGGCTCCTGGCATCGCTACTAGGAGCATTCTTACTACTAGTAACAAGAAGCTACTAGGGGCTCCTGGCCTTACTACTAGTAACAAGTGCCTTACTAGTAGTAACAAGAAGCTACTAGGAGCAAGGCACCTCACTACTAACCGGTTCATCTTGGTGACGCACTTGTCGCGACTGGGTGGCCACCAAGGTGCCACACATGCCCGTGGATGTGCAAACGTTGGGCGCCGACTGGTTGGTGGCAAGCAGCGCCTTTGCAACGAATGGCGCCTGTCTGGGCATTGCACATCTGGTATCTTGTTACTAGTAGCGATGCCCTTTGCTCCTAGTAACTTCTTGTTCCTAGTAGTAAGGCCAGGAGCTACTACTAGCGTTCTTGCTCATGGTAGCGATGCCTTTGTTATTGCAGGACCACGGTTGAAGGAATTTTGAAGATTTCTTGGAACAAACTCGTTGCACAGAAAGCCCAGAGTGGATGCCATGGGTTCGAACTCGTTGGTTCCCACACGCGAAAATGTCATTCAAGTTGAGTCAGGCGTTAGTTGTTACGAAAAAGAAAGCTTCATAGATGTTACTAGGAGCAAGAACGCTACTAGTAGCTCCTGGCCTTACTACTAGGAACAAGAAGCTACTAGGAGCAAAGGGCATCGCTACTAGGAGCAAGAACGCTACTAGTAGAAAGCTTCATAGATGTTACTTCATCCCGATCAGATCCGGACCACAAGAAGCCCTTTGGCACAGAAACGGACCTCACCTAGGCCACAAGATGTGCGGCCCCACAGGCATCGGCTTCTTGTGGGGCAACTCGGAGGCAGCCCGAGGATGACAGTCACACCGCAGAACAAGATGAATGGTTCGACCCGACCGAACTCCGCCCCGTTTTTTCACCGATGCCTTGCTGCTAGTAGCAATGGCATTACTACTAGCAGCTAGAAGCTGGTAACAAGGGCATCGCTACTAGCAAGAAACGGGCCAAACCTGGAAAACGCACCGCTTCCCACACGGCCGCGATCGGCCCAGGCAGGGCGGAGCTTCTGCGCGCGTCGCCGCCCTTCCTCGGAGGCGGCGAGATGATCGATCAGGTGAAGCTGGAAGGCGCGGAGCGCACCCAAGGGCTGGAAGCTACTAGTAGCTCCTGGCATTACTTCTAGTAACAAGAAGCTACTAGGAACAAGTGCCTTACTACTAGTAACAAGTGCCTTATTAGTAGTAACAAGTGCCTTACTAGTAGTAACAAGAAGCTACTAGGGGCAAGAAGGAACGAACTTCTCCCTTCCTGAATGTAAGGAGGTGCCTACCAGCAATGGCCTCCACAAAAGATTCCAATGTGTACCCACGCTGCTGTTTGGGTAGAAGAATATAAGCAAGCCTGGGATCGCTTAGGCTTCATCATTGCTCGAGCATGCCACGACATTCCTTAACAAAAAAGCTGTATAGTATGTCTTTGAAGCTTTCTAGTATAAGTAGAAGTTACTAGGTGGAGGCCATCACTATTAGGTCGGAGGCCATCGCTGCTAGTAACAACAAGCTACTAGTAGCTAGGAACTTTTAGGTGGAGGCCATCGCTACTAGGAACAATAAAGCCTGGTATTGCCTCCCTTTTTGAGTTGTCGGTCGTCCGTGTGTGCGCAGCATGGAGGTAGCACCTTCAGTGACATCCCTCATCGCTTCGAGGTGGGCAAAAGTTGGGAGGTCAGGGTTCACAAAGATTGTCCCCATGGATACACAAGAATAAGGGAATGAATCTCAAAAGACACCATGTTTGCCCAAAGGCTAAGTGTCCCTATATGCACACTATATGCATTTCAGATTCTTTAAGGTTCGCTACTAGGAGCAAGAACGCTACTAGGGGCTCCTGGCATCGCTTCTAGTAACAAGTGCCTTGCTAGTAGTAACAAGAAGCTATTAATTTAGATTTAGTTTTATCTTAATTCTAATAGCTTTTTGTTACTACTAGTAAGGCACCTGTTACTACTAGCGTGGCACTTGTTACTATTAGGAGCAAAGGGCATCGCTACTAGGCCTTCACCCTTTCGTCCCTACGGTCCAGGCGGGGACCCCAGCCTTTGCAGAAGCAGTGGCCTTGGGCCGCGCCTGTGAATACTTGGAAAAGCTGACCATGACGGCCATCACCGAGCGTCGCTTGGCGAAGTTCCGCTGGCGGACTCACATGTAAATCACGAAGCCCCGGGTTTGATCTCAGCATTGATACTAGTAACAAGAAGCTACGAGGGGCTCCTGGCATCGCTACTAGGAGCAAGGACGCTACTAGGGGCTCCTGGCCTTACTACTAGTAACAAGAAGATACTAACTAGTGTTGATACCTTTTTTGTTCAGGAAGAAGAGAATGCCATTTGACGTTTAGAGAAGAAAACCATGTAGGTTGGAGGCCATAGCTAGTAGGGTGGAGGCCATCGCTTCTAGGTTGACGTCCAGAGAAGAAAACCATGTTGCAGTTGATGTTTCCAACCTGGCATCTCTTCAAGCCTTCATCGCTTCAGGTGAGCACCGTTTGTCGAAGAAGCTTTGGGATCGCGTGGCTGCTTTGCCCGGAGTGACCATCTATGGCCCATCCCCAGAGGAGGACCCAGTGACCTGCCAAAAAGAGGATGGGAGAGGAGCACTTAGGCAGATAGATTTGAGAAAACGAAGGACAGGTGCCCCTACCTAGTAGCGTCCTTGCTCCTGGTAGCGATGCCCTTGGCTACTAATATCGATGCAGTTGTTACTAGTAGCAATGTCCTTTTCCCTAGTAGCGATGCACTTGTTAGTAGTAGCTATTATTAACTGTTTCTTCCCTCGGTTCCTTCAGTTCTTGGCTGCTGGTCCTTGCCGGTTCTTGGGACATGGATCGGCCCAAGTCTTTTGATTCAGCAATAACCAGTCATACCTTTGCAGGCACTAAGACACGAAGAAACGAAAAACATCGGCACAGTAGGCACCCTTTGTAGAAAGAATTTGGGCCAAGCAACATGAATCGAATCAAAGCTTCTCCTGGGTTTAAGGAGAGGGCTTCCCTGGTGTGTTTCAACGTGGAAGGCGTCTTGGCAGCTTTGCGGCCTGGAGTACGGGAGTACGGAGTGCACAGAGCGCACCGATCAACCTGGAGTCTTTGACCATGGAGTTACTCTTAGGACTCGTTATTCCTTGGTTCACTTGTTGCTTCGGACGCAAAGCGGTTGCTTCGGACTCTGAGTTCTCATGTTCAAGATTCTAGACCCCATGGCTGGAATCTGGCTGCGACAAGTTCCATCACAGTCTAAAGCGGTTGCCATTCGCAAGGTTGCCACGCGAACGACCTGGCTACCATCGTAGACCAGGACAGAACAATGCTTCAAGATGGTGGTGTTGCTTCTTTGGAGGTTCACGGAACAATAGGTACATCAAAGCAGTGAAGAGGTGGCAACCCTTATCGTTTGAAAATGCGACACGAGTCTTGATGTTTACGTTTGGAAATCTCTTAGAGGGAATCCATTTGACACCTCACGGTAACCAAAAAGTGAAACAATGTTCAGAGGTGACAATGATGTTCAACGGGTTCAGTCCCTTTTCGTGCATGTGTTCTTTCAAAAAACATCTGTGATAGAATGACATTGGGTGAATTCAATGTCTATTTCTGTTTGCGAGTTTTGCACTAGTGAAACGATTCCCAGGGAAGCTTCTAGTTTCTAGAAAGCTTCAATGACATACTAAAAAGCTTCTTGTTACTAAGCAGCTTCAAAGACATACTAAAAAGCTGGATTGTTACTACAGGTGAAATGATTCCCAGTGAAACGATTCCCAATAGAATGATTTTGGGTGAATTCGATTTCTAGTCCTGTTTGCGAGTTTTGCACTAGTGTTCTATCCTTTTCTGGCCTCAAATGCATCAAAGCAAGTCTTCGCGTGAGGACCGGGGCATTGCCATGCGCTCGGGCCACCATTGCACGCAGCCCTTGCACACCGAGCTGGGCAGCTTTGCAAAGCTCTTGCATATCTTTGCGTGCAAAGGGAGAGAAAGGTATTCGACAACAATGAATCCGCACAGAGTAGGGGCCCTTCTTGTTTGTGGTTAGTGTTTGGAGATGTGGGAAGCTTTTTCACGCAACCGCGGAAATGAAGAGTATTTCTCCAGCTGAATTTCTGTTGGCGGGTGCCGTCTCTAGACGTGATTTTGCAGGGCCTGCCCAAAAAAGAAATTGTAAAAGGGGTATGCAAGGATGCTGGGACATCCCATCGTTCATTGTTGCCTGTTGAGTTTTATGCTGTTCAGTCCTTGTTCTTTGCAAGTGCTTATTTATCAGCGGGGGGGTTGAGGATTTTCGTTAAAACTGTCACTGGAAAAATGCTATTCTATAAGGTTGGTCATTGCTTGGGTTTAATTGTTTCTCGGGGATAGATTGTCTCAGTGTTTTGTTCCTTGTTTACTCTTCCTTTGGCTTCGCCTTCGACTTCTTGCTTCAAAGGTCGGACTGCCCGTTCGACATGTGTCGCCTTGAGAGTCAGCATTGCAACAAAAACAAAGTCAAGCAAAAAGCAAAAGATGTGGAATGTGGAACCAGCTTTACAACTGCCTGCCAAAAATATGTCTGCTCAAGTTCTTCCTCCGTAAGCACCAGCCAGTTCAGCCTGTGCCATGAGGGGGAGTCGGGCCCTACTCCGTCGACGTTCATGCCGCAATAGACCTGGCTTGGGTGGGCAAACATCAGCACGCAGGGCTTTGCTGGAGTTTCTGCGTAAAATCGCATGCTTGTCTGATAATTCCATCTGCTCTTATGCATGGGTAATATCTCAGGGGATATTAGGTTGTAAGAAAAATTTTACCTTGAACATCAACAATACTCACATTCACTTCAACCACAACATCCTCAACCAAAACCCGTCCCAAAAACATCAATAAATCAAAATGAAATAGGACATATTATACTACAATGGAACGCTCACATCAGATTGGTTTAGATTGCCTTTTGTTCCGAAAAGGGTGAGATACTCAAAAGAAATGGTCAAGAGCTCAAGAAACTGAAGATGCGAAAAGGGCCCACACTGTCACTCAGGTATTGTGGCCAGTGCTCGGTTGTCTGCCTACTTTTACAACACCGAGGAGTGGTTCTTGGCACCAGAGCAGTGGGAACATGTGAGAAACATCGGGGTGACATCGGTGATATTTAAAAAGGTTACCAATTACAGGAGCCCCCAGTAGCTTCTTGCTACTAGTAGTACTAAGGCCAGGAGGCCCTAGTAGCGTCCTTGCTCCTAGTAGCGATGCCCTTTGTTACTAGACGCGTAGGCCAACTTGCCTATGATGTTGTTTTTTCCCTGGAGGAGGAGATTGACCTAGCAGTTGATGCGGTGGAGGCAGCGATCGAGCTGATCCGATCCGGAGAAGGCACCGGGAGAGGAAGAGGATATCTCAGGAGACAGGGTTTGTTCAAGTCTGCTAGTAGGGAGGCCATCGCCATTAGGTTGCACCATGCCACCCTCGTCGCATGCTGTTGAGTGAGATATCTCACCCCAAGGTGGATTGGGTGGGTTCAGTTTCAGTGAGGGAAAATGGACTTAACCAGTCGGTTTTGTTTGCTTAGAACCACAATCTCAAGCTACTCGCAAGTAGCAGTGCTCATGGTGGTGACCGCTCATGGTGATCTTCCGGTTTGAACATCGGAAACCCGAAGAGGATCTTGGTAAACAGGAGTTTATCTTTTGGGCAGCTTCTTGTTACTACTAGTAAGGCACTTGTTACTAGAAGCGATGCACTTGTTCGTAGTAGCTTATTGTTTCCTCTTGGTAAACAGGAGTTTATATATCTTTTGGGCTAGTTAGCGGCTAGTTGGTGCTCCAACTCTGTGCAGTTGCTCTTTGCTCATCGCACAAGGGCACTGAAAAAATGACTTTGCCCGGTCAAGTTCCTTCATCCTGTATCTTTCTTGGGGAGATCATCGCTAGTAGGTTGGATGCCATCGCTTGCTCGTTTGGCCTCCGTTGAGGTGAAGGGGAGGTGTTGGACCCGGCCATGGCAGCGCTGCTGGATGTTTGAGAAGCGTTTTGAGGCGGAGGTGTCCAACATCGGTAGCCACGTGAAACCCAGAAGGAGATGTTGGACTCCTCCAAGTAGCACAGAGAGCTGTGGGTCGGCAACGAAGCTCTAAAGGAAATATAAACGACCTCTTCCTAGTCAGTCATTCTAAGAGGATTCGATGCATGTTCATGGCCGTTTGCATGGCTTTTGACCCCCAACTCATCCAGTGAATGGTTTCACCATATTTTCCTCTGCCAGATCGTGGCGCCACCCCGCCACTTTCGGCAGCAAACCCAGCTCCAGACCCATCTGCAGATTGGAAGACAATGCAAGTGCCCGTGTTCGATCTGAGTACGGTGTCCACTGTCGATGGACAAGTTCTGAAGGAACCCAAGGAACTCACTCGCTGGATTCACCAGATTCTCTTCAGGCCGGTTCAGGCCAAAGGGGGCTTGTCATGCTGCCCTTCAGTGGTGCAGGATGGTGCAGGTGATTGTCCAACAGTTCAGTACCGCAAGACCTAAGAACTTGGCAACCATGATCCATTACTACTGCCACTCTCACTCATGAACAGAAGCCCTTTTGGAGTAGTCTTGGATTTGATTTCTTATACTTGGCTTACTTGTCCTCAAAAGGTCCTTGGTGCTAGTAGGTTGGAGGCCATCATTGCTATGTTGAAGGCCATTGCTATTCTTCTTAGCTTTAGAAAGTAATCCATGTCAAACATCTTGCCTCATGTTGTGCCGCTCCGCAGCTTCACAGTCATTTTGCCCGCAGCTTCACAGATTCACCGTCAAGATGGGCAAGGCGCTTGGCAAGATTGGAGAAGCCATGGTCCTTGCTCCTAGTAGCGATGCACTTTGCTCCTAGTAGCGAACATTGCTCCTAGTAGTAAGGCCAGGAGCCCCTAGTAGCTTTTTGTTACTAGTAGCGATGCCAGGAGCCCATAGTAGCGTCCTTGCTCCTAGGTGTTCTTGCGGCAACTTTCATCCAAGAGACATGATACACCAGAATCTCTTTGAGTTATTCCACCGAGAGGAATGGTTTGGGTTGGATGTTCGTGTCAACTCGAATACGACTTGTCACTCACAGGTGTGCACGAGAAATGACCTAGATGATGTGACACGATAGACGAAGGTTCTTGTGAACCGAAGAGAATACTGAAACACAATGAGTTCGGTCATCCTTGACAGCGGATTGGGTCATTGGAAACAGAATCCATGACCCATTGGCAGCCTGCTCAGAGCTGCTTCCAGCATGCTTCAACCTGCCTTCCAGTAGGCACCTGATTCATTCGGCGCAAGTCTAGACAAAAACCTGGGTGGAAGAGGCTGAAGCAGGAGGTTTTGTTCACAAACAATCGAACTCGGCGAAAGCCGAACTCGGAAGAAAGACCCCGCACTCAACCGCACCTCTGTTTTTCTTCTAGGAGGCCATCTAAATGAGGGATCTGAAGGGATCTAAATGAAGGGTCCAGTTTTGTCAAATCGACCGCACCGGAGGCGTTGCCTCTGCGCAGGTGCACGGCAGTTTGGCACGAGCCGGAAAGGTGAAGAATCAGACGCCAAAAATGGCCAAGGCGGAGAAGAAGAAGGCTGGAAGTGCTTGGCCGAAGTCAGCAAGGCGGAAGTGGCGACGAGTCGATGGAGAGTGACGGTTAATAGAGGTGCTTGGCCTGGAAGTCCTTGCAAATCCGAGCTAGAACCCTGGGCCACTTGGACTTGCTTGGGAACTTCTACACGATGATTGTTTGGCAAGGGTATTTGCACAGCCCCTGAATGTTGTTTGTGATCACCTCTAATCAGAAAGTCATCACCTGCTCGGGGCGTCCGGTCCTCAAGATCCTTCCAAGATGGACCTCACTCTCTCCCAAGAGCGGGGTAAAGCCCTTGATCTCACCAAGAAGGATACCGTGGAATTTGTCGGATATGCTGCTTCGTGCCTTCTAAAAAGCACCCCAAGCACCCGGTTTTCCTTGGCCGCTGACGGCTCTGACGTGACCTCTCCATCCTCGGTCCTGCCTTTCAGAAGCTCACGGGCCGGGCCAAGAAGCGCTTCGTCTACAACCGTCGCTTCGTGAGCGTCGCTCGGAATGCAGGATCCGAAGGATTGGAGTTCCGCAATCTAAATGAAGGATCCATCGCTAGTAAGAGGTTGGAGGTCCATCTCCAGTAGGTTGGTGGCCATCGCTAGGAGGTTGGAGGCCATCGCTAGTAGGTTGGTGGGTTGGAGGCCATCGCTAGTAGGTTGGAGGCCATCGGTAGTAGGTTGGTGGCCATCGCTGGCTGGTGGCCATCGCTAGTAGGTTGGTAGCCATCGCTAGGAGGTTGGAGGCCATCGCTAGTAGGTTGGTGGCCATCGGTAGTAGGTTGGAGGCCATCGCTAGTAGGTTGGAGGCCATCGCTAGTA